CTGTAATTAACATTTCCATATTTGTTATGATTTGATATGTTCGACTAAATGAAACCTAACAAACTAAACAAAGAGGATGACTTAAGAAATAAAATGTTGACAGCCATCTCTTGGTATGTTAGCAAGCACCATGACCAGAGTATAGATTTGAAAACAGTACCGTGTTTATTAAGGAGGCAAAAAAAAGTAGTCTCCTTTTTTCAATGACTCCAGTTGTCATAGAGTAGTACTTAGTGATAATTTTGCTACCTCTGCTTTGCCATGCATTGGGATGTGCGCAGGTTTGCAGTCTCAAGGCTGCATGTCCTTGTCATGGTGTGATTGCTGAAGCACTGATTTAGTGATTTACTGACTGGTGTTGCCCGGGACAGTGTGTGTGTTTCTACAGAACTGGGGGAAACTGTAACATTGCCTGTTACAGTAGTGTACCTAAGGCAGCTGTTTCTGATGGTGTGTAAGTTGCAACAAGAAGCAAGCTTAAGAACGTTTTCGGTTTTTTTATTGTTGTGAGCCAGATCAAGGCTGGTAAGAAATGAATTCTATGTTATGTTTTGATAGAGAAAGGGCTTGAGTCTAAGGAAAAAAAGTAATGTATTTGGATTGTTCTTTTTTCTGTGCTTTAAATTACATTTGCATTTGTTTTCTTTCAGATAACCCCTAGTGAAAGTCATGGCTTGTTATGTATGTTAAACGTTTCCTGCTTGTCATCTTTTTTCATGAGTTGGCTAATTTATGAAAAGCAAATGCATTTAGCTTTCTGCCCTGTCAACTGACTGCTCTCTAGAAATAAAATGAAGCGAATGAACAGAACTGCAGTCTACAATGGCAAAACCGCTAAAAGGTCAGGTTTTCAGAAGGAAGATCTGACCAGTGGCTTTTCAGGGATGGAGCATCTGCTGCCAAAACTGTATCCTGATTGATAAGCCAGGAAGAAGAAGTTAGTTTTCAAAATGAGAGGGGTGGGGAAAATTCCTTCCTTTCTTCCTTCCTCCTCTTAGAAATGTTCAATTCAGAGCAACAAATACAATTTTGTGGAAAGTCTTCCAGCCTTGACTTTGTTTCAACAATGAAGGTTTTGCAGCTGATAGTTGTTGTATCTCACCCTAGAGTTTATGAGCAATCCTTTAACTTACAGAGATACAAAAACCCCAAACGCAATACCTATGTTAATACTGATATTGCGTGCTCCCCTTGTTTATATAGAGGGGCTCATAAGCACAGTTACCTTCTTGTGATCTTTCCATTGAGTTTGGCATCTGCTTTTTAACTTATGAATGTAATATAGTGCGTTTACTAAGGAGCAGAAAGACTCGGGATGGTGGGATGTTAAATGGAGTTCACAGGAGAGACAAATCTGAAACATCTTTTTGGATTTTAGGTTCAGTGAAGCTTTAGGGATTCATTGGCTCAGGGTATGGGCCTGTGTTATGTGGTTATACACACAGAACAATTGTGACTTGTCCAAAAAATCCTGCTTTGCGTTGAATTTACTTCCATAATGCTAATTATCGACGCTACAGTGTTTTCGTTGATGATCAGTCTTTGGAGATGATGTATCAGATTGTACTCATTGCGGAAGCATGAAATACTGTAGCTTTATCTTTCATAATGGGTTTTTCCAGTTACTGGTAATTATAGAAGGGCTCTGTTGAAGTGCTTGTGTCTGTATTTTATGGGTGAAATACTTGGAAAGGGAATGAATAAAAGGAGAATTTGAAGAATGAATAGTTTTTTCTGGACACGTTGCTCACAGCGAAGAGTAGACTAATTCATTTTCCTAATAAGGCTGTGCTGGAAATTGGAATGTTTTGAATTGCATTAAATGTCATGAAAGTATTCATCGGAGAGGAACGGCTTGTGGTATGTTTAGAGAGCAAATTTGATCACGTTTGGTCGAAATGAACTGTTTACATAGGCTAAATATAGCTGCCTTTTTTTTTTTTTTTTCCTGACAGAATAAACACCTTTGATGTAGAAGCCTGTGCAAAAACTTTGTGTGCTTTCATTTTCAGTATTAGGCTGTCAGTAAATGATGGCTGCTGCTTCCATTGTTGTTGTCTATAATAATTCTCATTAAGCTTGAAGCTGTAACTGTTTGCCAAGGTCTTTTGTGTGCATTGTTTATAGTAAGCATTTATACTCAGCTTTTATGTCTTTACTTTGTTTGTATGCTATTGAAAATATTGCATAAACTAATATACTGAACTGCTAATTTTAAGTCATTCAGAAAATACCCTGCTTCGAGCCATCCTGCTTTTCTAGTAAGTAGTAACAGAGCGAGTGTGTCATCTCATTTTGAAAGCGTTTATCATCAGTTATTTATTCATACATTAAACGTGACCAAACCAGCATGAAATCCTAATATGTTTAATTGCTAGGTGGCAAGCGAAGTGCTAACAGCTAAGAAAATGTACAAGATTCTGCAGTTCAATTATTTTTATTTTATTTTATTTTTGCTATGCAATTTGGTAGTATCTGTCAAAAATAGCCCTGAAGGAAGTATTTTCTTAAATATATGTGTTGGCCGTGTTTTGCTTTTCAGCTTGAAGTGTGCATTTCCTTTTGTACTGTCTTGTCTAACCACCATGCATTTTTCACATTCAGTTCTTGGTGGCTGAGTTTGCTGGATGAGCATTTTCTTTATACGATACGGGATAAATCCCAGATTTTAGTTTGATTATGGTCTGAAGTCAACAAGGCCAAGTTAAACTGTTTGAAGTATGTCTGGGACACACAAATTTATGTCCTTGTTTCAAGTATGTTTGGGTGAAATAAAGTAATGTTATGCTGTCTGACTCCAATGTTAAAAGAACATTGGGAACATTTAAATTATCAAGCCTTTTTCCATCCTTTTTTCTTCTTCTTTTTCTATATTTTTGAAGATGAATTTTGAAGAGTATGTCTTCCAATCGTGTGGAAATAGTGGTTTGAAATCATTTTTTCTCAGTGCTGTATTGATGAATGCAGAGCAATGTCATCCGTTGCTGACTCAAATTTGATTATTTTGTAAAAACAACAAAAAAAAGTATCTTCTTTTTATGAGACTGAAACTTCAACGTTCAGCGTTAGTGAAGTTTTTTGCTCAAGCATGAAGTATGGGAGTTGACTTGAATAATGAATATCTTTCTACTTCTTACTGCTAGATCAGCTTAATAAATACACAAAACATTCCAAATTATTTTATTAAAAATGTATACTTAAGGTAGAGAGCAAGATACATGTTTCCTTCTAACTCTGGTCTGAAAAAAAGAAAGCAAAATTTCCATGTGTATTGGCATTTTTTTCCCCCTTCTTGTTGCTTTTGTTGCTGCAAATTGACAAGTCTGCAATTAGGAGTGATTAATGATGCACCCCAGTGCTTTGGAGGGCTGGAGGTCAGTCTTCTCATAGGCTGCACTTTCTGTGGGAAAGGGGAGAACCGACCTGGTCCTCAGAGCGGACAAAACCCTCTCTCTGTTGAGAATTACTGGTGATGTGGACATAATGTGTGTCAGCAGCAATGCACAAATGGTGAAGGCAAAGTGCAGAAGATGATCTTTTCATGTGATGTTTGGTTTTTGGGTTGTTTCCCCCCCCCCCCCTCCTCCTTCTGCCAACATTGCATGTGGATTATATGCATCTCTCATTTTGTAAGTTAGTTACTGAACCTGCAGCAGGGTTGCCATTGCTGGAGTCTGATCAGCCCTGAGGGCCAAATGGCTTTGAGGGAAGGAGTAAACATTTTGAATGTAATTAATAAAAATAAAAAGAAAAAAAACAGGAAAAAAGGAAAATTTAAGAAGGAGTAGTTAAATGGACCAAGTGTGCCTAGTTGAAATCTAGCTCTCCATGTTTTCCTGATAAAAATAGAAAAGTTGGTTTATACAATAGAGGTGTTTAAATTGTAGCATGTGTTAGCTGATCTCCAATTAAATGAACCTCCTTGCCTCCCCAGCAAGTTATCCTTTGGAAATGAGAATCCAGCTTCAGTTCTTCAAAACCCTCTTCAGATGATTGGTTGGAAATTGGGGTTGTGTGATTTCAGGCAGGACGTGATTGATGGTTGTTGGACCATTAAGGGTGCCAGCTTTTCTAAGCAGCTACCAAATATGGCCAGAAATGTTTTGAAATGTGGTAGGAAGACACTTTTCTACTGAAAAGGCTCAAGTGTATCAGCAGCAGTGTCTGCAGACAAATGCTAGTGTGACAGATTTTTTTGCTTTGTGTTTTGGGGGTTTTTTTGGCGTTTTTTTTTTTGGTTGGTTGGTTTTTAATTTCTGTATGTGTTTGAATTTTTGCATATAAGTATATACAAAGCTGCAAAAAACAATCAAGCAAGATGCCTTTACCTGTGACACATTGCCTGTTCCCTTTAGGTATAACAAAATCTGTCAATTCTTTATCTTCTTAATCCTGTCCCTTGTGATACTTCTTTTCCTTCCCACCACATCATAGTAGTTTCAATGCACCCATTGTTTGGAAGAAATTTTTTTTGGTCATCTGCTGTGGTGTTCAAGTGACATTAACTATACCTCTGAAGACCAAAGACTGTGCAAAAAGTTCCCGTATTATTCAACTTGCTGAGTCCTTCAGAAGGATTTTTGTTGTTGTTCTACAAGGAAGCTTTCTGTGTTAAGCCTGAATAAAGGCTATGCGCTGTTTAAAATGCAATTTGTCTGACCAGAGCTTTTGACTTATGTGACAAAGGGTGGAAAACAATAAACAAATTGGAGCTCAAGTCTCCTAACTGGTGATATGCTATATGAAGTTATGAATGAAGTAGTACTTGATAATGAATGCTGGAGTTCCTAATGTGTCGGGATAAACTCATCCAATTTGGTTTTGCCTTTTCCTTGTATTAACAACAATGTTGCAGGTTTAACTTGAATGCTTCTTGTTTCCTTTAGAGGAAACAGAATGAAATATTTTATATACCTGTGGGTGAATGTGGTGAATTGGAAGAGGGAAATGCTTAAAGAACATGTTTTCTAAAATTATGTGTATGTTTTTTCCTCTTCCAGAGTGGCTTCTGTACCAAAACCTGATCTTATTCATGTACCAAAGGTATGTTCATCATTGCAACCAAGAAATGTAGCATGTGGCACTAACTGTTACCCATCTGTCAAACCCTGTTGTTGATAAGCACTGTCATTCAAACTTTCCTTTCAATATAACATGCTTGGTTTCCATGTCTTACATTAAAAGTATTGCAGCATTTGAATCTTGGAGGGGTTTTATTTTTTCCCCCCAAAAAAGAATTGAGAGACCTGGCAAGCGGTTACCCACAAAAAAAAAAAAAAAAGTGAATAAATGTTATCTTCCAACTCTCGGGACATTTTTTTAGAAAGATATTGCTGGAGGTTTTCCTCTATCCATAAGAAAGAACCAGTAGTAGGGGTTTTTTTTGGCTGTGTTTTTTTTTTTTTGTTTGGTTGTGCTTTTGTTTTTGTTTTTTAATGGGCCCTGAAATCTTCCTTTGTGTTTGGAATAAGCTTATCTAAATATTAGAGTTTCAGAGAACAATTCCCCTCGCTTTCTTTACAGCTCTGGGGAATTACTTGTTCTTGAGTTCTTCTAATGTTATGTTCTCAAGCAATAGTTTCAAACCCCCCCTTTTTGATAAGAAGGCTGTTTGCAAACCTGAAAATGTTTACAAATGGCCTTGCCTTGAAAATCCTCTCCAGTGGACATAATATGTAGCATATTACTGTTCTGCTGACCGTAATTTGAAAGGCCGCACTTTGAGAACCACCATGTTAAAACATAGGTCCCGGGGGGAGCATGGGGGAAATTTAAAAAATTACTTTTTTTTTTTTTTTGAGTATTTTGATCTGACAATGGTATATGAAGACATTGGGGCACGTGGATGGATGGAGCACAACTGGAAAAGCTCACTGGAAAAGCATGGGCCTCTAATAAATGAGCTCCAGGGCTTTGGTTCTGCTCTCAAGGGCCATTTCGGCAGATCAGTATATACAGTGTTTGTGTGTATACATGCACATGCCATTTGTGTATATGGAACGTGCATATCTGGAATTGGGTTTGAGAGGTGGAATGTGGAATTTTACAAAAAGCACTGATTTTTTCCACATGAGCTGCCTGGTGGGTTTTGCAATAGAGTGGTTCTTCAGTTTGTCTTGAATTTGATTTGTGGGGTGTCTGTTTTGGATATGATGAGAGGAGTTAGCGTCATGGGATTTCATATTGATTGTGCATGCTTGGATCATTCCCTTTCCTACAATGCATGGCTCAGGCTTTTTTTTTCTTTTCCATACGTTTCATGGCTGCAGTCTCAGTAAAGCTTGCGTCTGTGCTTCTTGGTTTCACGCTAGGCAGGTTATCTTCCCTGAGAGCAGTGAAAATACCTGCTGGGGAACATGCATGCGTTTGGCGTGGTTTTGTGTGTTTCTTTTTTTGTTCTTCATCTCGCATAGGGAGAACCTACAGAAGTAGTTAAGCCTGTGCCCATTGCCTCTGCTGTTGCACCCAAAGTCACTGCCACGGCGAGCGTGGCTTACAATAAGACACCGAGGCCATTCGGAGCTGTAACCACCTCCAAAGTCACCTCCATCCCATCACCGTCCTCCGCCTTCACCCCGGCCCAGGCGGCGGCGGCCCCGCTGGCTGCTGCCCCGGCCCCGTTTGCTGCGCCCGGACTGCATGTTAACGCCAAGCCTAACGCTGAGCAGCGGTCGCCCGCGCCGAGCGCTGCTAAACCTGCAGTTAATGTCCCACGGCAGCCCGCCGCCCACAATGCCTCCCCGAGCGCCTCTGCTGGCGACGGCGCCCAGGATGTAGCCGAGGGGCCGCGACGAGGATTCAGAGAGAACCAGGGGGAGAGTAAACAGCAAAATGGGTAGGTGGGATTCGTTTTTGCTGTGAGGGTCTTTCCTCGCAGGAAAAAAGCTGGGCTTGTTTAAGGGCTGAGTAAAACGCAGCTTGGAGGAGTCAATTGAGTCCTCAGAAGCGAATCTCTGAGGAAGGACTCGCACCTTAAAAGGGATGCTTCGAAGGGCCAAGCCAGGCTTTCGGTGATGATTTTTCTCAAGGGTGACACATATCAGTTCATAGAGTGTCACAGTTAAATTGAATCAGGACCACAAAATGCTTTACATGAAGGACCGTATCATGATGTGTTCTGGACCTTACAACAAGCCCGGTATTAATTTCGCTGTCCATGTCTCACTGTGTATTTTGACTCCCTATACGGTGACTGAAAGCAGCAGGCACTCAAAAATGCAGAGTGATATGTCAAGAAGGGTCGGCGGGTGCTGCGATGGCCAGGAATGAGATGCTGTGAGAGACCAGCTGTGGCCCTGGCAGGACCGGCAGAGGAATGTCCCTGAAAGGAGGCAAAGGGACAGATGTCACATTACTTCTTTGCACAACACACGAGAAACTTTTAAGATGCATTCAAGGAAGCTGATGGGGTTGAGCAGATTTTTTTTTTGCAGCATTATAATGTAAATACCTCAACTTTAAATGTTACCTTTACCCTGAAAAAGCAACACAGATTTAAAATTTGAGTCATTTTTATATTCAAATGATTGTTTATGTTAAAGGGGATATCGGAGACCTAACATTTAAGAGACCGTAAGGCTGCATAAAAGGCTTCTTCTATATCTGGTGTAGCATCTAGACTAGTAAACAATAGATGAGTAAATTAAGCTGAGCCCGGCAGCAATCCTGGGCACTCGGACTGCGCCGCTGCCCTGTTTCAGCGATGCGCTTTTGGCTGGGACCACCTCGGGCTCTCCCAGAAATTCCTGGGCAGAGCTCGGGAGCTGCAGCGCCCCAGGGACCGTTTCCCAGCAGCCGCTCTGCCGCGGGGAGAGGAGGATGCTGGGCATGAGTGGTCCCCTGCCAGTTGGCCTCCATGCCCAGCTGCACTGTCTGGCAGATCGAATTAAGTAATAAAAAGGTCAGGAGAGGAACTGTAGGTTTCTCTTCGATCTTAAGAACGTAAAACCTGTGCTTAAAACCCAAAAGCCGTGGTTACTGTTTCCCATCCCTCAAAAGAATAGGGCTGGAGGAATAGGCCTGGTGCTTCTGTCCTCTGATATTCTCTCAATATATAAAGTATGTGGAGGAACCTACAGAAAGGTAAACATCCATGTCAACTAAAATACAGAATAAATTGTAGCTTCAGTTGAGCTTCTCATAAGGGGAAAAAAACTTTGTTAGGTACCTATTCCCTTTATATTGCAGTACGAATATTTACCGTATGTGGACTCATATAATGCAGTCCATATGCATTTTATATCACGCTGTTGTCATGGTAACTTCCAGCACTTTCTTAAACAGCTGATGGCAGGAGTCCACGCTGCATAGAAGTGGGATGAAATTGGGAGATCCAAAGGACTTGCTCGGATGTTGGTAGACCTGTTGAGTATGCTTTGGCAAACCATCTCTTATCTTTCCAGGAATACTCCTTTTAGCAAATAACTGCGTAAGGAGTATTCAAAAGCAGCAATTAGTACTGAAAAAGACAAACAATACCAACAAAACTAAGTCTCCTGGAAGGAAGTGCTGCAGGCGTAGAGTACGAACTTGACAATCAAGAGATGACTGGCTGAGTGCGGTTACGTGCCCTGCCTTACAGTGAGGGGATGAATAATACCGACTGAAGAGTATCACTGTTGGCAGGTGAAGAAATTCCTGTCTTCCTGCCAGCCTTGCAGATCTAGTTTGGAAAAGCTTGAGAACGTTTAATGCTGTAAAAACCTGCTTTGTTTTGCCGTCTTTCTTAAAATAGTGTGTTTAGGCTGTCTAATGGTCTTGCAATCCTAAGGCGGAAAACAAAAGCAAGCAAACAAAAACCCCTGAAGTGATTATATTGGTCTGCCACTACACTACTTAGTTTTCCTTAGGAAAATTACATTTCTACAATGATGCTTAGCTATCTCCCCATTTAAAATGGAATCAATGACATTTATGAAATATCAGAAACATTAAAGTTTGGAACAGTGGATCAGCCTGAAATGAATTCCATTTTGCTTCTGTGTTTTGTATTATTCATTTTCTCAAAAAAAAAAAAAAAAAAAAAAAAGGGGCAACTTCTATCTTGTTCATAGATAGCATTGCTGAGCAAATGCAGTTCTTGAGACATCCACCTTGTCATACTCAGAATTTCCTCCCTTCCTCCTGGCTTGCCTCAAACCACATTCAGGATATGAACTATTTGCCTTCCCTTCAGGATGGGGAAGGAAGTTTTGTTTCCCTTGTTTAGTCCTGGCTTAGAAAGAAAGGAATTTTCCTTCACTAGGCTGCGTGCAATTACGCCTTTATCAAGACCTTCTTGCCAACTCTTGCATGAAAGCGTGCCTGCTGCTTAAACCAGGTAAGATGTCCACAGACTTCACTCAGTTTAAGCTCAGCTGGGCTAAATTTTTCCCTCGTAGGTTCTCTTGATGATTGCAAGTTTGACTTACGTGATATGTCTTTACCAGAGCTTGGATTTGGAAACTCCTGTAATATTTAAAGAAGCAAAGAATGTATTAACACTTCAAATACTTTTTTTCCCTTGCAGATAACAACAGTGACAAAGTTAGTATCAACAGCACTGGAGATGAATTATGGTCCTTTCCTGTTGGAATAACCAGCATGTATTCTTGTTTTGCAAAATTATAGCTCTTACGGAGTTTTATATTTCAATTTTGCAAAACAGCTTCAGCTTTTCTTAGTAACTTCTTAGTGTAGTAAATGGTTTTGTCTGCATTGGACATGATGTGATCTTGCTTTTCACTGTGTTACATTTTGCAGCTTTTTTTTTTTATTACATAGAACATTTGTGTCATGTTGGTGTGTATTGATAAATTCTTGGTGCGCCTATGGCGAATTGGTGTTGGTAGTACAACTAGTAAATGGTGAAATACAGCATAAAAGCAAAAATGGTTTGAGGACTATGGAACGAAGGGCCGGATACTGAATTCATGCAAACAACAACAACAAAAAAAGAGTAGCATCCATATGCTGTGATTTGTACGTGTTAGGGTGATAAATATGATTGAGGCTTTATTGGCTTGTCTTTTTGTCCCCTTGCCTCAAGGCTGAGTTAAGGGAGAGCCTCTCGTTGACTTTTGCTTTGTCTCTGGCACCACCTTGTTGCCTCAATGAGTCATTACTAGTAGACTCTAAAGCCTTAAAAAAGCGACCAGTGAGATCCACAAGAGAAGTCAGCAGGATAATTTGTTTATAAAACCACTGTCAACAAATGCAAAAGACTACTTATTTCACTGTGGTTGTTGCTAGTATGCAGTCAACTGTATGTAAATAATTACATTTCCAGGTAGTCCCACACCTTTAATTACTGCTATAATTTTCAGATTTTGTTTTTGCTATTAACTGCTTTGATGCTTTCCTTAGTTTTTCTCTGTACTTCTTGTACTCCATCCTGGAAATACCATTGTCTTTGTTTCTATACCTCTCCCTCTTTTAGTAACTTTGGTACATGATACGTGTACTTCACTAATACAGTGTGTCAATAAATTCAATCTTTTGATATAATTTTGTGTGATACCTTTCATATCATTCTTTCAAGTATTAAGTATCCTTTTAAGCTTACGTATTTACTAATGCATTCCATTGAGTGGGCCTAATTCTTACTTGTTGACAATTAATAATTTACATCATTCTCATCCATATTTTCCATCTTTCTTCACCGGAAATACTTTGGACACTAAAAGTACAGTGGGGAAGTAGTGGCAAAAATAAAAATTACTTTAAAGATTTTTAAATTTTTTTTAATTTTTTTTTTTTAAATTAGAATCATTATGCCTTAGGAGCTAGTTTTGCAGAGTTAACCTCCTGTAAATTATGTAAAAATAAATGTACATTAAAAGGGTCTTAAAGGTTAATGCTTATAAATCCTCTGTTCCCTTTTCCTAAACTGCTCAGTGCCATTACGTGTTCTTTACATCAGTTACTGAAAGCAAAGCTTTAAAATCCTGTACTCTCACATGCTTGCTGGTGCAGGGATTGATAATAGCATATAGGTTACTGTGGAGAAAATTTCCTGATGAAACGATCACCCCACTTTCTTGACTTTCAGAGAGGGTATCGAGCATCTATATCTCCACGATATGCTCCAGAGCATCGCTACCTGCACTTTCAGATGGGCTGGTTCTGATCCAGGCTTTGCCAAGCGCCAAAGACTTGGCGTGTGCCGGGTGGCCCTTGCACACAGCTGGTGCTTTGCCTCTTGTGAACCAAGGGGAGAATTTGCCGAGGGGCACGTGATCCGAGCTAAGTAGACTACCCTGCTTTACCAAAACAGATTCCCCTCTCATCCCTGTAAGGAAATGGCTGTGAGTTTAATTTTAGTATGGGAGTTCTGTTCTGCCATTTTGGTAGAATGAGACTATCACTATTTATTGGATTTTGGTGCCCTTTCCCACAAAACTAATTCAATAGTATAATTAGCTGTACTTCTGTTTCAACTTTCTGACTTTATTTCTTGTTTTCTTTTTCTCCTTTTCCTGTTTATGCTGGGAAAACTTCCCCTTGCTGTCTTACTCTGTCATCTCCAAGGAAAAACCCACCCAAACGGTAAAGGTTGAAACGTGTGAATGTCTTGATAATACTGTCTTTTACTGTTTCAAATGTTGCAGCAGTGAAACAAGGAAAAACATCTCAGTTGGCTTAGAGTAATTATAAAGCTGTGTTGGGTTCAGAGAACTGAATCTGTGTTCAGCTGTGCCCATAGTGCTCACTGCTGCACATCTGTGTCCAAATGCAGAAGGTGCCTTTGAACGCTGTGAAAAGTCACAGTTCTGCCTGTGTCTTTGTAGCTACCCCAACCCAGGTGGTCTCTAAAGCTTTTCGCTCTCTGCTCTCTCCTCTCCTTGACGCAGCCCCCCGCGCAAGCACATTGTGGATACCTATACAGAGTTCTACCACACACCCACCCACAGCGATGCCAGCAAGAAGCGACTGATTGAAGACACCGAAGACTGGCATCCCCGGACAGGCACGACCCAGTCCCGCTCTTTCCGCATCCTTGCCCAAATCACCGGCACTGATCGTAGTGAGTAGTTTGATGTGAATATGAAATGTGAACACAAAATAAAAGTAACGGCCTTGGACAGATAGGTATTTTTTAAAAGCCAGGGGTGGTGAGGAATAGTAAAAGGATTCAGCTGCATCTCTTGCGTTTTCCCTCTTGGGTAATAGATCCAGTAGGCAGAATTTTGGTGAGCTCTTTAAAAGTAAAAAAGTTTGAGAAAGCTATAGTAGGAAAATGTTTTTGTTGAACTCCCTCAATTGCTAAGTATCTCAGGACATATACATTACTCGACGTTATTCCTGATTGAGTTCAACATTAACACATTCTAGATAAATCTTAAAATTTCCATTTCTACTCCCAAAGACATTGGCATGTATGTATTTCTTGTTTCTTTCCTCTCCTGTATCACCAAAATGGTGACGTTCCTGTTCAAATTTAATGGTCCAGAAAAATTAAGCTGTTTTCAGACATGTAGAAAATCTTTGACAGTCATACAAAGGTATGGGATCTGCTGTGATTTAAGAAGCATAAATCCGTAGTTCCTCAGTTTATTCCCAGGTTCATGTTTCCATCCTCTGCTTGTGCTATGGTGTGATTACATGTACTGCGGACTGGAACAGATGATGGGGAGAAGGTCATTCCCAGTCATATAATTTTACAGCAAAACTTCAATTTCATATTATGCTGTCAGTTGTAATTTATTAGCTGAGAACTATAATGTTGTGTAAAAGCCATCAGAAGTGCCATCAGGAGATTTGAACTCAGTCGTGTTCAGGCTGAGGCAGCTAATGTAGAGGTGATTGTTTCATTTTGCTGCTTTTCGTAGCTAGTGCTACAATAAAGAAGGCAGTGAGGATAATCGGACCCCCTCCCCTGGGGCAAATTTGATTAAATTAACTATCAGTTCTTTGGCAGAATTACTCTAGAAGCCAATGATGACATCTCCCCAAATAAGGATTATTGTCCATGTGTGATAAGTATTCTCAACTTGGACAGTTACCTGATTGTTTTGTGGTCCTGCGTTGTGCTATTAATGGCTCATTATTCTATGATTCTGTCTTTGGATTCTCTTCATTGATCCTTGTAAGGGCAGAATATGAGACTTGAACATCAAGTAACATGTCATCCAGTATTGATGAAATAATCGTTTTGACAAATACTATAAGAAAGCAACTCAAAATCAAAAACCTCAAAATCGGGGCTGGGAATTTACATTACCCCATGTGCAGTCCTCTAGCTACCTTGATGGGTCAGAGCCTGGCTGCAAACAGATGCTTGGATTATCGCCTGATATAAACCCCCTGGGTGTTCGTCCAAAAGAAATGCCTCCCAACTTCCATTCATCTTCCCTTTCTCAACTCACCTTTCTCAATGCCAACGTGGAGAGTGGGCCAAGGGAAAGGGCAGAGACCAGCAGAGCCGCCTTTCAGCCATCCTGCTGGCAAAGGGGCTCTTGAAGTTTATAGACATATCTCGTTTCCATTGGGGCGTATTTAGAGTCGAGGCACCCTAACGAGCCTTGTTGTAATTTCCTGCTGTGGTGAATGCATTGGCACAGGGGAGAATCTCAGCGTACAGAGGTACAATGCCTTTGAAAATAAAAATTGTCTCGTTTCTTGCAGTGAAAGAACCGGAAAACGAACCTGCAAAGAAGACTAAGTGAGTTGATGTTTTACATTTTTATTACTCTAATAGTTTGCATGTCTTAATTTTTAACTGACAGTGTTTGGTGATTTTTGTGTGACATCTGGGTGTTTTTAAAATGTTGCTTCTTTTTTTGCCTTCTACTTCAGCATGTAAAAATCAAGATCTTTTTCTGCATAGACCGACCTTCTTAAATCTGTTGGTGCAGTCCAGTATTAATGTTTGTGCAGGAGTTTGAGATTTTCTGTAAATTTGGACTGATGTTTTCGGTGCAAGGTCAGCTTGTCGACGTGTTTTCCTTTTCCTAGATCTAACCAGGCATTTTTGATTTGTGAGTGTGGATCAGATTGCGAGGCGTAGCTGGGAAGTATTACTGTTCTGGACTGTGAACGAGGGTCAGCTGTCTCCTTGCTTTAGCATAAGTGTTGCTCAAAACGAGGACCAACCAGTGGCTAAATCTAACGGTTCCTGCAGTCAGTGGGAGTTTTCCTACTGACTTTGCCTAACACCGGCTCCAAGTTTTTGACAGAGAGGAAGGCAATGTGTGGATAGGAATAGTGCATGGAGATTGCATGCTCGCTTGTGAAACTGCTTAAGACAAACTTTCTTTCTTTCTTTCTTTCTTATTTTTCTTCTATCACTTCTTTCCACAGGGAAAAGGTTCCCATCCACGTCTTTAGCCCCAAATATACAAAATTACGTGACTGGCACCATGAAGTCTCAGCACGTGTTCTTAATGTCCAGTGATTTTACCCAAGTTGCAAAAGCAAAATACAAACACTTCCTTCCTTTCTTCTTTTCCATCTGCTTTGCCAAAAAAAAAAAAAAAAAGAAAAAAAGAAAACATTTCACTAGCCTTACTGCAAGAGAAATTCTAGCCTTTTCTATACTTTTCTAACACTTTCCTACTGATGTGTAAAGAACAAGATGAAAATGTTTTTGTGCTAATCACTAGTTGACAAAAAAAATTTACGTATTTAAAACAGAACAACTTGGGTGACTGAATCTCCCAATGTTGGGGAGAAGATGGCTGTTGCAGTTCTTTTTTTTGCCTTAAAGGAGTCATTTGCATTGCTGAGTTTGAGTTACTGTAGGTTCTTAGAAAGCAGAAAATTATAAACAAAGAATAAGGAATTGTATTACTTTGATTTTGGGGATGGGGGAAGAGGACGAAGAGGGACTGTATGCACTTATTTCAAACTATTGTACTTACCAGCATAATAATCTTGGATTTCACTAGATTTTCGGCAGGTCAATTTTAGAGTGGTTGTAAATGTTTCACGAAGTAAAGCAAGAAGACAGACTGCTTTTGAGTAAATAAAAAATAAATAAAAAAAATAAAATTCTGATGTTGCGAATCGAAGTGCAAGCTTAATATTAAGATTCTGCTGCTTAAACTAGTAATATGTTCATATTGTGGAAAACTTAGAAAAAATTGAGCAGAATATTGCAGTGTACCTGTAAGAGCTTCAACACATCCTCTAACCAGAACAAGATAAGATGGTAGTATTTATTTATTACAGAGTGAAGAAGCTCATAGGCTTTCTTGTGTTTATAAAAGCTTCATGGCCCTATGGTTCTCCTGTAAAATAATGTATTATAGTAGCTACACATTCATTAATTTATGCTTTCTGAAGCTTGAAGAGTATTTTAATAAAAGTTGCTTTTATCTTAGCTCTGTCTGTTTTTCTTTTGAGTCTCTCCGACTCCTTGCATAGTCTTCTCATACATGGAGCTGTAACTTTATTGCATCTTCACAGATTATAGTGAAAGAAACAATTAAATCCCTGCTGCATAGCAGAAACAATCTGAAAGCATCAAAGCTATCACATTAGTAGAGTTCTTGATCATGTTAAAAACGGAGTATGTGTTTGCGTTGTCAAAATCAACGTGAGATTCACAGAACTATGTAAAATGTTTGACCCTTTGGGGGGGCTACAGGAGTAAGAATTGTACAAAGTAAAACTTGCTATCGCCTTTTGCGATGCTTCTTGAATCAGAGATGTTTCAAACCTTCAAAGGTGAATTGTAAAGCACATATGAAAGCTTGATCTTTCATAATTGCTGTTGGCTTGTAGTTTGTGCAGCATACCTACACACTTTTCTGACGGAACTGGTCCTGTGAACAGATCGATGTCCACTGCAGATCCCTCTGTGGGCTTGGGGGGGTTGGTTATTTTCATTGCACAACTTGGAAAATTGAAAGGAATAGAGACCTTTGGAAGCATTTCAAGCTTTTGTTTCCTTTTCAGATGGTTTATACTGCTATACATTACAGCAGTAGCTTATGGTATTTGTCATTTTATCTTTAGGAAAAGCCAAACAGAAAATGGAGACTTCAGGTAATAGCCAAGTTATCTAACACTAACAATCACCGATGTGGATGCCTAACAATGCACACCATAAAGTACAATTAGATTTGCACTGGTAATGATGGACCAAGACCTAGCGCATCTTACACACCTTTTGGGTTAACTCCTTAGGGACGGTAGGAGAAAATATTCACTTTAATAATGTCACTAAAGGGTGTTTTGAAGAGAAGTGCCAATCAGTTTGATCCCCCCTGCCATCGCATAACTTGGTAGTGAGTACTGTGTTACTAAACCCAAGTGTGTTGCTGAGTGCACATAACACACAGTGGTGTGTAACAAACTGTGGTGTAAAGTAGGGATGTGAAGTAGTGTATTGAAAATGTTTTGCTGGGCTTAAAGAATTTACGTATGGAAAGGAAGACAGGAGCTTCAGAGGACAACAATGCAATGAAAAATGAAAGGTTGTCACTTAGACTGTCTGTAAAGTTTTCTTTATAAGGGCAGAATGGTTTGACCTTCAAGTATTTTTATGTTTTGGAGATGTCCCAAGGTAATGAGAATATCTTCACATTGGTACTTAACTTACCATTATGTTTATCTATCTTACCAACTCTTATCCCTGTGAAGGATAAGTTGCTTTAGCAAGAAATGGAAGAAAAAGCCTCTCTAAATAATCCAGAGAATAGAAGCCTCTGTTTTGATTAAAATAAAACACAGATAGTCACAGAGTCTATCTATTGAAGATATGGGAATAGTTTGAGAAAGGCTACAAGAATTATTAGTTCCCTATAAACTCATAGCAACAAATTACTAGTTCAGAAAATATTTTATGAATGTGTGAAATTCATTTCATTTACTGCTTTAAAGATGTCATCTCTTCGCCCAGTATACCCATTGCACAACACTTACTGATGTTAAATTTTGGACTTTGTTACTGTTTCCAAAACAGTGGACTGCTTTTCCATTTGCATGTGGAAAACATGCCCTAGCTCACGTCCAATTCCCAGCATACATCTGATCTTTGATAAAATATTCTGAGTGTTTTTGATACAAAGGAATAAGCTTACATTTACGAGATCACCTAGAAAGATTAATATGACAAACAGTGAAATAGAAACTTCTCTTCCATCAGTGATCTAAGGATAAATATCCCAATATAATAATATTCAACTTTTCAGGCAGACATTGTCCAAGACAAATGCCCTATGGATTTATTATTGTTCATCCCTAAACTGCAACACACTAGGGATTTTTGTGTGGATAAAATAGATTTTTCTTTTCAGCATCTGGAAGGACAGGGAACAGAAATAGAAAGCCCTCACTGAAATGTGTAAATCGCAACTCTCAAACCAGTTACTTAAAGCTTACAAAGGCAAAGTGTAGCCTTTACATAAAGCTTATTTCTGTGTTTTAGTAAGTGATTAGTTGTAATTCTGCAGGACCTAGTTTCCAAGTATGTTTTAGATGTTCACTTTTAACCATCTCCTTTGAGCAACCAGGTACAGATTTGGTTTTGGCCTTCAATTGTAAAGCCAGTTCATTGTCCTGAGCGAAGATGTGTCTGGATTTTCCAGATTTGTAGTTTAGCTAGTCCATAGCAACTGGAAAATATCTGTACTGCTCTTGATCAGTCCTGAAACAACCTGTCATAAATAATGTATTTATTACCCCACCCCCACCCCCCCCCATGTTATAAATATCCGTATAGCATACCTGCAGATCTGCCTAATGGAGCAGGAGCCCAGGATACCTGTATTAATCTGAATAAAAACTCCATGGCTAACCAGAGTTTGGAGATGCCACCTGTACCAGAACTTCCATCCACACCTTTACCACCTATGAGGTCTGCTCCCTCGTTATTCCTAAGTTTGTTCACTAATTTTTAGCACTTAAAGGCTCCCTACTTTATTAAGATACTCAATTCTGCATGCTGATATATATACACAGAGAAAAAAAAAAAAAAAAAATGTCAGCAATGACTGCTCCTGTGGCTAATCTAGTCTGCTCAAAACTTGTGGTTGTACTTGCTCTCTACCTCATAGTTTACTTTTATTTTTGTGTATTACAGTGACATGTCTGACAGGTGTTTTTCTTCAAGTAGAGGGCTTCAAGACAACGTTGTCTAGATTTACTTTTTTTTCCTACTGCAACTGAAAAGAAAAGAAATGATATGACAAAATACTGAGAAATATATAGTCTAACCTCCATAAAACATAAAAAAGTTGCAGCAAAAAGTGTATAAAACTTTGGGAGTGAATCCCACTAGCACTTGTGTCTGTGTCTTTTCCAGTATTTTCTAAGAGTTTTCCATCACATAATGTAACACTAAATATGTGTGTTCTATCTTTGTAAATGTAAAATACTACTTGGCTTTCTGAGTTTATAAGCAGCAGCACACTTCTCAAACTTCACTAAAAGTGTGACACTTCCTAAGTGTATTGTGCCTGATTTTATCCCCCTGTTTGTATTTTGCTGTAAACTCCAAGTTTGGGGTTTGGCTTTTTTTTTTCCCCCATTGTGTTTTTTGGGTTTGGTGGTTTTTTTGTTGTTGTTTTCTTTTTTTTTAAATTTACTAACACTTCTATGCACAGTGTCTCCTGCTTAGCATACTATTTTAATGTGGATTAAAAATCTCTCTCTGTGTGTCTCCATTTGGTTTTATTACTGCGAATGGAGTGAAAACAGTGCTAGACCAGAACCTGCAGCTGCTCTTTTGCCGATAGCAGAGTCCTCCCCTGGCAGTGTCCCCTCTCCCAGCCTTTCTGAACACACTGCTGCAGCAGCTCCTGGGAGGTAAATCATGCAGAGGGGGTTTCAATTCAGTTAATGATCTATCTATGTGTTCTTCTAGCCTAGAATTGTCTCTCTTGGGGGAGGGAGGGTTGTCTGTCATTCCCTTAAACTTATTAATCCGCAGTGACTGGGGATTTTCCTGGAAACAGTAGGAGGGGGAAGGAGAAGAGAAATGAAATAAAGCTGAGCAGATTCATGAACAGTCTCGTGGATACCAGTTAAAATAACACACAATATTCAGCGTGTGTCGGTACATTGTCAGTAGGTGTCCACCCTGTCACTTGGATGGAGTAACTTTTCAGTGGTCTCAACAACTCCAAAGTGAATTCAGATTTCTTAACACACAAAAAAGTGCCTTTAAAAATATAATTTTTTAAAAAGTGGATTATTTCGTTCATAACATCGTGCTGTGCTGTGATGCAGTCAAAGAGAACTAGATGATTATCTGGCAAATTTCCTGTCATTGGCCTTGGATGGCTTCACCAGAACTTACCTTGGGAGATCAGTGATGTTTTGGAGGTCATCTATGGGTACTAGACAGAGATGGTAATTTTAGATATGACAGTGGCAGTAATTTGGAGGGTTACGATGCTATTTTTGATGGTCAATAACCTTTTCTGATGGTTCGTGTTTCTTAGTGCA